GATATCATCAAAGACGCGGTCTTTGTCAAACAAATGAAGCCAAGTTTTCCAAAAATGGAGAAATTTTAAAATATAATTTGAGGAGAGAAGGAGCAAGTTGCAGTATGACTTTGGTATGGTCTATGTAAAGTTTCTTTCCTTTTTTTTTTTCAGATGGAGTCTCGCTTGTTGCCCAGGCTGGAGTGCATATGGCGCAATCTGTCGGGCTCACCGCACCTCCACCCCTCAGGTTTAGCGAGTCTCCTGCCTCCAGCTCCGCGAAGTAGCTGGGTGCACTACAGGCTGATGCACTGCAACGTACGCTGGTGCTAATGCTTGTGTGTATTAGATCTAAGGTTTCGCGCATATTGTCTAGGCTTGGTTCTCAAACTCGCTGACTTCATGCCTCAGTGCCTCAGCCTCGCCCCAATGAGTTTGCGGGAGTTGTACAGGCATGAGCCACCATGTCCGGCCTTGGTCCTGTGTAAAGTTTAAAAGCCAGGCAATATAGGCTGGGCACGGTGGCTTATGGCCGTGTAATCCCAGCACTTTGGGAGGCTGAGCAGCTGATCACCTGAGATCAGGAGTTCGAGACCAGCCTGACCAACATGGAGAAACCCCATCTCGTACTAAAATTACAAAAATTAGCCAGGCGTGGTGGCGCATTCCTGTAATCCCAGCTACTCAGGAGACAGGCAGGAAGAATCACTTGAACCAGGAGGCCAGAGATTGCGATGAGCCGAGATCGACCATTGCACTCCAGGTTGGGCAAACAAGAGCGAAACTTTGTCTCAAAAAAACACAACCAAACAAAAAACCCAGCAATATTTTATTTATAACATATATATTTTAAAATAAGAACATACATAGGAATAATATATACCAGATTCAGATCCAGAGTAGTGTTTCCCCTCTGGAGAGGGATATACAGGGGCTTAAACTGTATAATGTCTCATATCTTAAAAAACCCTGAAGTAAACCTGGCATGGTGGCTCATCCCTACAATCCCAGCACTTTGGGAGGCCGAGGTAGGAGGATATCTTGGGCTTAGGAGTTTGAGATCAGCCTGGACAACCTAGGGGAACCCCTGTCTCTACAAAAAAATTTAAAAATTAGTCTGAGCAACGGTGGCTCCTGCCTGTAGTCCCATCTATCAGGACTATGAGGTGGGAGGATTGCTTGAGCCCAGGAGGTGAGGCCTGCCAGGGCTGTGACTGCACCACTGCACTTCAGTTGTTGCCACTGCACTCCAGCCTGAGCGACTGAGCCAGACTCCATCTCAAAAAAAAAAAAAAGAATATTGAAGGCTGGGCGCAGTGGCTCACGCCTATAATCCCAGCACTTTGGGAGGCCAAGGCAGGCAGACTACTTGAGCACGGGAATTTGAAACCAGCGCGGCGAAACCCCTCTCCACTAAAAATGCAAAAATTAGCTTGGCCTGGTGGTGTGTGCCTGTAGTCCCAGACTGAGGGTGAAGAATCACCTGAGCCCAGGAAGCTGAGGCCACAGTGAGCCATGATTGCACCACTGCACTCCAGCCTTGGCAACTGGAGTGAGACCCCATCTCAAAAAAAAAAATTAATTAATTAAAAAAAATACATATAGCATTAGCCATTTTGTTTTTGGACAAAATACAGCATTGCTAAATGTGTGGGGACCATGACAAAATTAAAACAACATACCTGATCTAACATGCCCGGACAGAAGCATTTGTAGGATGTGTAGGCAGTTTTTTCATCTTTGTGTAAACCTGTTTTTGTTTTGTTTTTTTTTGGACATGTTGTTCTCATACTTTGTCCCAGGAGTGAATGTTGAGAAATTTAGAAACTGAGTGTGCTTTCAATTCAGGAAGCCAAACTACCTTGTCTGACTTCTCTGTGCAGATGATGGACTTCCAAAACCAGAACTGATATCCTGGATTGAACACGGGGGAGAGCCCTTCAGGAACTGGAGAGAATCACAGAAATCAGGAAACATAATTTGCTCCTCTGGTGATTTGCATTTTGATCCAGGTTTTCAGGAACAGCTGTTTTGGGGTGAGTATTAAGAAATCAGGGCCCCGACCTTAAGACATCGTGTTCAGATTTGTTTCCCTTCTCTGATCTTGTCATCCTGTTTGGGCGAGCTGAAGTTTGATGACTCTTACCTGCTAGATAAAGGCAGTAAAGCATAACAGTTAGGAATGTGGGTTCTGGAGTCTCTATGTCTGGATCTTGCTTTTTCTTGGTGACCTTGGGCAAATTATTGAACCTTTGGGTAGTTTAATGCCTGATCTATAAAATGAAAGTACCCATGTTACAGGATTGAATTGGTTAATACATATAGTGTTAGGCCAGGCGTGGTGGTTCAGGCCTGTAATCCCAGCACTTTGGGTGGCCGAGGCAGGTGGATCACTTGAGGTCAGAAGTTCCAGACCAGCCTGGCCAACATGGTGAAACCCTTTCTCTACTAAAAATACAAAAAAATTAGCCGGGCATGCTGGCAGGTGCCTGTTATCCCGCTACTCAGGAGGCTGAGGCAGAAGAATTGCTTGAACCTGGGAGGCAGAGCTTGCAGTGAGTGAGCTGAGATTACACAACTGCATTCCAGCCTTGGCGACAGAGCACGTCTCAGTCTCAAAAAAAATTGCTCTGGTCACCGAGGCTGGAGGCACAGTGGCATGACCATAGCCTCACTGCAGTCTTGAAACTTCTGGCCTCAAGCAGTCCTGGCCTCAAACAGTGCTCCCACCTCAGCCTCCCAAAGTGGCTGGGATTTTAGGTATGGAGCCACCATGCCTGGCCCATGGTTACCAGATCTTCGGAACTAACATGGCTTCCTTCCCACAATAGAGACTGTTTATCTACTTGAATACTTTTCAATCTGAGCTCTTTCTCTTTCATTTCTTGTCATGATGAAAGAGTCAGGAGACTTCTGGATTTTTTTTCTTTCTTTTTTTTTTTTTTTTTTTTTAGACGGAGTCTCGCGTTCCTCCCAGGCTGGAGTGCAGTGCTGGATCTCAGCTCACTGCAAGCTCCGCCCCGGGTTTACGCCATTCTCCTGCCTCAGCCTCCCGAGTAGCTGGACTACAGGCGACCGCCACCTCACCCCAGCTG